GTTTGTTCTTCTGTTGACTGGGGGTCGATCTGCCTTGCATGGTCTTCTAGTTGACATTTCACACATGTATTATAGGTGCCGGTTTCTTACATTTTTATTTCACCATAGTCTTACTCCTTTTCATTCTCCAGCTTATAGGAATTACCCAGCACACCTAGAGCATCAATAAATTCTTTTTTCTCTTCCCTGACTCCTATTGATGTTAATTCAATCACTTGATGAGAATTCAGCAAATGATAACTGGGCTCCATCTGCAATCTTGAGCCAATTCTCTAACTTGCATTTATGCAATCCTTTTCATATCTAGTTTTACAAGTGCATGTATTTTTATCTTCATTTTTAAAAAATAGGAAAACAAAATCTACAGTGTTGATGGGATTTGCCCAGTATCATACACTGAGTGGCTGAACCATACTCGTAATTCAGATACATTCCTGACCCCAATCCCATGTTTTTACCCCATTACCCAGGGTACTAGATTTAGGCATATTAAAGCAATAGTCTGTAACTATACAACACGTAGCAGTTGTAAAGCACTTTCACATGCATTGTGTTATCTTTTCCTCATGAAAGCCCTTGATATAGCATTATTATTTATCCTAGACAGGAAATCTTGCAATTAAATAAGAAAGTTACCAAGACAATTGAGCGATGACACTCAGGGTCTGGAGACTTCAAGTCTCTAGACAGGCACGGGCATAAACCTTGGGGTATCCCAGATATTTCTTTTCCACCTACCTCAAACAATAAGGCAATCAACACGTTAAAAGGATACCCAAATAAACCCACCAAAGGCTGGGAAGTCTTGTTTCCCATAAAATATCTTCTCTTCATCTTTAAGGACACTGGATTGCTCCTTTTCATTCCTTTTTTTTTTTCTTTTTTTCTGTTCAGTGGCAGTAATTTCCACTACTCTGTCTTCCGGCTCACTGATCCATTCTTCTACCTCATTTAGTCTACTACTGATTCCTTCCAGTGTATTTTTCATTTCAGTTATTATATTCTTCATCTCTCTTCGGTTGTTCTTTATATTTTCTAACTCTTTGTTAAAATTTTCTACAGTAAGTCCCCTACGTATGAACTTTCAAGTTTCGAACTTTCAAAAGATGCAAACATATGGTCCCATGTCTAATCACGTAAGTTAGGTCACATGTCTGGCGTACATTGTCACGTGTGTGCATCCTCTACAAGTGGCTGTGCTTTTGTGTACTGTACAGGACTGTATAGAGTACAGTAGTGCAGTATCTTTTTTCAAGCCCAGGATGTCTGGAAGCAAGTATAAAAGCAGCGGTGACGTAGCCGGTACTGCTAAGAAGCGCCAAGCAATAACAATGGAAACAAAAGTGAAAACAATTGAGAGACTGGAGTGAGGGGAAAAGACACCTCGCCCTTCATATCCTATTTCTGATGATCCTTCAGCTCTACCATCTCCTCCCTCCTCTCCCTCCTCCAGTCAGTAACTCTTCTCACCTCTTCCCTCAATGCCAGCCCCTGCATGCCAGCTGTTGTACTGTACTATTGAACTTTTCAAGGTACTGCACTGTAAGATTAAACATGTTTTCTTTATTTTTGTGTCTGTTTGTTTTTTATGTATTATTTGTGTGAAAAGTATTATAAACATATTACAGTCCAGTACTATATAACTGATTGTGTTAGTTGGGTGCCTAGGCTCACTTTGTTAGACTTAACGAACAAATTGGACTTACAAACACACTCTTGGAATGGAACTCGTTCATATGTAGGGGACTTACTATAACGTCTTGCTCTGTGTATCCACTATCCTCCCAAGTTCCTTGATCACCTTTGTGATCACTACTCCGAACTCTTTCTCAGGTAGGTTGCCTATCTCCACTTCACTTAGTTCTTCTGGGGTTTTATCTTGTTCCTTCACCTGAAACATATTCCTCTGCTGCCTCATTTTCTCTAAGTTGCTATTTGTATTTTTATGTATGTGGTAGGTTAGTTACATTTCTTGGCCTTGGGGAAGTGGCCCTCTGTAGGAGGCATCCTGTGTCCCAGCAGTGCACTCCCCTCTCGACGCCCAAGCTATGTGCTCTAGGCGTTCCCCCTAAGAACGCTACGTGGGTTTTTCTGTGGGGCTGGGCTAAGTGTGTGGGCAATCAGGTAGGCCCCTAGCTGGTCAGTTGCCAGGCCCTGCCTTGTGTGGACGTAGCTGGCTGTTATTTAGTGGGGTCTGGTCCTGAGGTGACTAGTTGCAGAATCCTAGGGGGTCCCTGGAGCTAGTGCTGGCTCACTGGTGGGCGGAGTCAGGGTCCCAAAGACTCTGGGATTGTTGCCCACCCACCGGCTGGTTAAGTCAGATCTTGGGGTTAGTGCCAGACTACTGGTAGGCATAGCTGGTTCCTAGAGTCTGGCTCTGGAATCCCAGAGCTCATTTAATATTATTGGTGGGGGGTAGTTCTTGACCCAGTTGGGTATGGGGTCCAGGGTGTCCTAAAGGTTGCGTTGGCCAGCTAGTGGGCTGGGCCAGGGCCCAGCCAGTGCCAGTGTGGGATCTGGCCTGCAGTGTGGGATTGTAGTTTTCTAGCTTCTTGTGTCTGCCCTCTGGTGGGCGAGGCTGGTCTAGAGGCCTGGTCTGGCTTCCTGGTGGGAAGGGCCGGTCCACTGGTGGGCAGAGCTGGGTCTTGGCCCTCTGGTGGGCTAGGCCGTGTCTAGAGGCAAGCCCAGAGGTGGCTGTGGGCTCTTTAGTCTTTAGGCAGCCTGTCTGCAGATGGGGGTGGATGTGTTCCTGCCTAGTTAGTTGTTTGGCCTGAGGTGTTCCAGCACTGGAGCCTACAGGCTGTTGGGGGGCCAGGTCTTGGAGCTAATGAGGCAAGATGTTAGCTATCAACAATGTCCCGCTACATGCTGCCACCAGTGTGTTTTCCTTTACCAAAGCCTGAATTCCTTCTCCCTGTTTCAGAACCACAAAGCCTCTCTCTCCCTGACGACTACAGGGAATTCTTGGAGGGGAGTATCAACTTGTACTCATACAGAAAGGAAAGTAGTATGGCAACAGAATTTTCATCTATAGTCTAGGGAATAAGATATATTCTATTATTTCACTAAAACAGTGGTTCTCAAAGCATGGTCCCTGGGCCAGCAGCATCAACATCACCTGGAAACTTGCTAGACATGTGATTTCTGGAACTCTCCCCAAGATCTACTGAATCAGAAAATCTAGGGGTGAGGCCCTGCAACCTGTTTGAACAAGCCTGCTAAGTGATTCTGATGCAGGCTCAACTTTGAGAACCACTAAACTAAATGTCAACCAGAGGTGACTTTGCCTCCAGGGGACATTTACTAATATCTGGAGACATTTTTAGTTGTCATAATTGGGATGGAGGGTGCTAATGACATCTAGTGGGTAGAGGCCGGGGATTCTGCTAAACATTCTACAAATGCACAGGACGGACCTACAGCAAAGAATTGTCCAGTCTAAAATGTCTGTTGCGCCAAAGTCGAGAAACCTGCTCTAAACTGAGCCTTCACTCTCTCAACTGGTGAAGAAATTAAACCTCAGCTGTGTGTGTGTGTGTGTGTATGTGTGAGTGTGGTTGTGTGTGTGCGTGTGTGGGTGTGTGTGTGTACGCATGCGTGTGTGTGCGTGCGCGCGTGCATGTATATTTGTGGGAGTCTTCATCCCCAATTCCACAGCTTAATTTCAGGCTTAGGTGGACCAGAGGGAACGAGTTCTTAATCCAGGTGATCACCTTCATTCAGGTGCTCTGTTTGCTGCCCGGTACCGGTGTTTAGTGCCGTTTCTCTCGAAGGGCTGGGGCAGGAAACTCTCCCACCTAACCTGTCCCAACCAGGAAGAATATCTTTCCACACCAGCAACCAGATTCTCCCATGAGACAATGGTCTGAACCGCACAGAATTCTGGCATCTTGAAGTAATATGCCAAGGTCAAGCGGAACAGTAGGCATCCATGCTATAACCCCCACCCCCTCAACTTCCATCTCTTCTCAATAAATCCCCACCTTCCTGGGGCTGGGTGTTCCCACTTTCCTCTCCCCGTTAACTCACACCATGTTTCCTCATCACGAACCACTTAGCTTCAGCTTATACAATCAAACACAAAATCTCTTTATTGTTTGAGGGTTTCAGGCGACTTCAGGAAGCTCAGCTTTTAGGAACAATATTGAATCATTTTCCCCAGAGTGGAAGGGTTGGGGGGGGAGGGGACAGGCTAACATAGGTTAGTCTTTTTCTTTTTTCTTTTTTTTTTGCGATACGTGGCCCTCTCACTGCTATGGCCTCTCCCGCTGCAGAGCACAAGCTCCGGACGCGCAGGCTCAGCGGCCATGGCTCACAGGCCCAGCCGCTCCATGGCATGTGGGATCTTCCCGGACCGGGGCACGAACCCGTGTGCCCTGCATCGGCAGGTGGACTCTCAACCACTGGGCCACCAGGGAAGCCCTAGTCTTTTTCTTAATAACTCTCCCTGCTATATCATGCATAACATATTTAACATAATATACCATATATATTTGTATATAACATATTTAATATACCTATAAAGCAGCAATCAGAGGAGAGGATAATGTCTACAGACCTAAAGAGTAGAGTCCACTTGCTCCTCACTAAGGGAAAAGCCATAGAAAGAGAGGAATAAGTTGTAATGCCCAGGAAGTGTTAGCCCTCCCTGGAAAAACTGGCAAGGGTCTACCAGCCCATGCCCTAAGAGTCCCAGGGGAAGCCATTTGGGGCAACATGTAGCAGATGAAGAAGCATGGCGGAGCTACTGGAAGCATGGAGACCAGAAGTATGAAACCACTGCAGGAGGACCGGATGCTGCTTATGCTGAGATATCTAAGGCAAGCCCATCGACGGTGGTGGTCCTGTCGACCATTCACACTGCTGCCCCAGGACCCACACGATGTCCACTCCTTTACCTACGATTACAGTTACAATTGGTTCTTTCCCTCCACCCACCCGTCGGCTCCTCCAGCTGCATCCTCAGGCCCATCCCGTACTGTCTTGGATTCAGGGCTGCTTCACAGAGGCACACAGTTCCACTGGTTCCAGTCACAGGGCACAGGGATATGATTCAGACTGCGACTCATTTTCTGCATAATTTTGTTATTCTTGTCTACATGAGAATACACGGGGAAGCCACGTTTGATCAGAGCCTGGGTCTGGTAATAGATGACATAGGTGACGAGACCATGGCCCCGGTACTCAGGCAGGGTGCCCCCCATCCGCATCTCTCCTGTCTGGTCCATCAGGGACCAGGACACAGGGGTCCCCTCGGGCCCCAGCAGGCAGAAGTTGGGGAAGGTCCAGATACAGCGCTCGATGAACCGCTGGCTCCACTCATTGCCACCGAAATGCCAGAATTTATTCACCACGGCAGCGTGGGTAGGATCCAACGATGAGAGTTTAAACATCTCTTGGTCACTATGGATGTTCCAAGAGAAAAGCAAAGTCCATGAGTTTAGAGGTTTATATTTGTTCTTACCTCTAGTATCTTGAGAGACAGAGTAGGCAGAGGAAATAGCGAACGCAAAGTCTGGAGTATAAGTGAGCTTGTAATGACAGAGGGACAGAAAGAAGGCCGATGTTGTCGGACTGAGTGAGCTAGAAGGACAAGACAGGTCAAAGAAGTTGACATAGGCCTGATGTACTCCAGGTGAGAAAAGAAATGGTGGGGTATTTTAAGCAGGGGAGAAACACGGTTTGAATTACGTTTTTAAAAAAGATTCTTCTGGCCGCTTTGAAGAAGATCGATTGTGGGCAGACAGAGTAAAAGCAGAAAGAGAAGTTAGGAGGCTGCTCTGGTAGTGAGAGGCGTAAGCAGCGTAGGGTAGCTTTTATCAAACTCACATGGCCTTGGGTTTGCCATGGCTAAGTGATAAGTTCTTTACATCCAGCAGGGAAGGAGCCAGTTCCCTTATTGCCTCAATCGCCATATAGAGAATGTTTTGTGATCGCTTGACTTTGAAGGATTTAGTGGCTGCAAGACTTTGTATTACTTCATTCAGGCTGGACTGTGAACCTGGATGGGATTATAAGGAGAAATGCAATGATTTATGTCCATTCTAGGGAGAAGCTCTCCAGTGGAGTAGGAAGTGTCTGAGGATTTCTAGTCAGAGAATTTTGGTGATGGGCTCGGTGCTGCTACTGTATGACTGGGCTCATGTAATCAGGATTTGAGCAATTTTCCTTGTTTTGGAAAAGCAAAAGCATGCCTAGAAATTCATTCAGCCACGGTCATGCCATTAGAGGCAACACCAGGACTGGAACTAAGTTTTCTGGGCTACATAATCGTGCAGTTTTTTTGTTTGTTTGTTTGTTTTTTGTGGTACACGGGCCTCTCACTGTTGTGGCCTCTCCCGTTGCGGAGCACAGGCTCCGGACGCGCAGGCTCAGCGGCCATGGCTCACGGGCACAGCCGCTCCGCGGCATGTGGGATCTTCCCGGACCAGGGCACGAACCCGTGTCCCCTGCATCGGCAGGCGGACTCTCAACCACTGCGCCACCAGGGAAGCCCAATCATGCAGTTTTGATGATCAAAGAAGGTGAGTTATAATAATTATAGTTGCCGAGACTTCCCGGCAATTATAGTTGCCGGGACTTTTCAACACTGCTGTGTTTTAGGTACCATCATTTATTTTTTTAGTAAATTCATTCATTTATTTATTTATTTTTGGCTGCGTTGGGTCTTCATTGCTGCGCATGGGCTTTCTCTAGTTGTGGCATGTGAGGGTTACTCTTTGTTGCGGAGTACGGGCCTTAGAGCACATGGGCTTCGGTAGTTGTGGCCCACAGGCTCAGTAGTTGTGGCATGCGGGCTCAGTAGTTGTGGCTCACGGGCTTAGCTGCTCCATGGCATGTGGGATCTTCCTGGACCAGGGCTCAAACCCGTGTCCCCTGCATCGGCAGGCGGATGCTTCACCACTGCACCACCCGGGAAGTCCTAGGTACAATTATTACCCTCACTTTTATATATGAAAGTCAGGATCTCAGATAGGACAAGTCCCTGGCGAGGATCACATGGCAAAGTAACAGGCAAATGCCATCCTAGGTAGTCTGACTCTGGAGACCATGCTCATAACCATATAAGTTGCTCTTTACGACCTAGGAGGTGTTCTGTGACATGAGTTGTCATTCCAATTCTAGGAATGAAAGTCCCTGGGGAAAGCTCTGCTCTGATACCCAACCACCCTAAGGCATGCTGGATATGTCCACAAAATATGCCATAAATCCTTAGCTCTCAGGGGATTACATTACAGTCCTCTATATGAAGCCCATTAGGTATAAGCTTTGAGGGTGTTTTTCCCCCTTTACAGGTATAGTTGCAGCTGAGTAAAAAAAACTGACAGCAGGCTGAGGGTCTGGGGCTTGGAGAAAGGAGATATATGTCATAGGAGAAATTGTTCAGGATGGAGATGTGGTTCAGCACAGATTCCATTCCTTTTATACTTACTTTGGATCTGCAAATGCTGTTTCCAGTTGATGACTTCTGGTAAGCTGAGGAATTCCTGACAATTTTTGAGGTCTTTGGAGTAGATATGGTAAGTATTGGTGTAGTGATCAAGGTCATCTGTCATGTCCTGTTATCATTGAGAAAAGGGGGGCAAAACAAATGTCTTATTTTTCATGATTGTAATACTTTTTTCTAAATTCTACTATACTGTGGTATTTTTAAGTACTAAAATATTGGTGTTTGTATTGGTGCTTTAGAAATTTTTCTGAATCATTTAAATCATGAGATCAAGATGGGAGATTCAGGTGTTCAAATTATGATGAAAAACTACAGAACAATACTATTCTCTACCCATATATTGTATTAAAATTTCAACTCAAGCAAAGACACAACTATTTAGAAAGGATTCTTCTATATTTTCATCTTCCTCAACAGGAAGAAGAGAAAAGCAATTGACAAGGAAAAGCTTCTGTTGCAAGAATAAATGTTTCTATATTTCAAACACTTGCAGAATACAGAAGCTATGAAGATGACAGTATTAAATTTGGTTATTGACATTTCTGGATTGACATTTCCATCTATACTAAATTAAGACAAAGAAGATGAAAACCAATTAGAAATGCTTTCATAAAATAATACAAGAGTTGAACAAATTGTAATTACAGAAAAACAAAGAAACCACTTATTTAGAAAGATCCCCTCAAATTATTAAATAAGAGATGTGATTATTTGGAAGAAGAAACAGGAAAATATTATCTTGAGTGCAGAATTCGAAACCTTTTCAAAAATAGTTGGAATTGTTGCACAAAAATACACTCACAAGTCAGCAATGATACCACTAACACATTTTGTTTCTTAAGATCCCATTTAAGATAAAAGGTCAAATAATTTTATTGCAGTTCAGTTTTTATTATTAATATAAATTTCTTCATTTTATATACTGTTTAATTCCATGGATTTTAAATAACTTATTATTTGTAGGAAAGATATATTTGTATTTTTATAAAGTTATAATTTTACTGGATGTTTTAAAATAAACTTAGGGTTTTTTGTCTTTGAAATGTATTAACTATTTAGTTTCACTAATTTCTAAATGTTTCCCCAAAATGTATATGGAAATTCTAGTATTATAAAAAAATTTTTTATAATCAGCCAACGAACTGTCCTGTTTCATACCTTCCTATCTTTGTCCTTGTTACTTTCTCTGGTTAGACTGTCCTCCTTTCTTTGTCAGCCTAACAAAGATATATTTATCTACAAAACCCAGTTCAGATGAAACATCCACTAAGAAGTATATCTAATCTGATCCTGTGACCTCCATCTCCAAACTCCATAGTTTAATCAGCTTTTGCCTGTGCTATCTCCGTATATTGTACATTTTCTGTTTTTGAACATTTTACACTAAGTTGTAATTTATTTACTTACCTGTATTCTCCTCCAGGCTGTGGGGTTCTTAAAGGCAAGGACTTGTTCACTACACTGCAATTCATTTCTGTAGCCCCAGGGTCTACCACATTGCCGGGCACACGGTAGGCACATAGCAAATACAAACATAGATGCAAATTCATTCCACATCTGGCACCTTACCTGCTCCTGAGGGCGGATAACCACTGTATTAAAATCAGGCCACCTGTCCACCAGGGCCTTTAGCTTGAAAGGGTTCCCCTGGTTCATGTGGAAGACGGTCCCATAAACCTGCAGTATCCGGACAAAGTGAGAGGGTCAGCTTGTTAGGAAGGGATGGCAAAGTGCCTTGTTTGACCAGGACAGGTTTATGTCTATGAAATTGTGAAATTTTACAGCGGTAAAGGGACAAATAGGGCATCTGTGTCTAAAATCTCCACACGCTACTTTCTTTTTTTAACCTCAGATGAGAGCTTTTTCTTCCCATCTAATATAAATCAAACATGTATATGGTAAAATATTGGGACAAATAAAGTTAATGATCATAAGAACACCATTCTTTTTTTTGTAGGATTTAATATTATCTTTTCCCAGACTTTCTTCTATTCATACTCGTAGAGATACACAATTTTACAAATGTAAAATGATCTGATACATGGTATTTTTCACCACTGAATAAATTGTGGGTGTATCTCTATGTTCATAAATACAAAATTTTTCAATTATGTTCTAATGATAGGATCCCACTATATGGTTGTATCATGGTTCATTTGTGCATTTGTCTACTGAGGGTCATTTCAGCTGTTTCCAAATTTTCATTTTAACAACTAATTCTTTGCAGAGCATGCTTGCACAGAAATCTTTGCATGGGCACCTGATATCTTCTTAGATTATCCATCAGGTAACTGCTGGTTCAAAGGATATGGACATGTTTAAAACTCTTTAACATGTATGTCCACAGTACCCTCTGGAAAGGTAATTTCCTCCCACAATAAGCAAAGCCTAAAGCAAAATGCTAAAGAGAATGGGCTGCGGAAGCCCACAGTCTCGGTCCAGTCTTGAGTCCCCAGCCCCGCCTTTTTGCATAGGTTGTTGAGAGAGAGGGGAAAGCAGGGAGAGAATGAATGAGATAGCCTGTGGACATTAAGTGTCCTGGTGGTTTGGGGGGTGGAATGCAGCGGTGGATACCACCATGGGCCACATGACTATTGTGAACATGAAGCCTCTGCAGATACCAGCATGCAAACGTGCCAACGACCAAAGGTCAAAAAACAATGTACGCAGTTTAATGGTTTCTACCATGGGTAGATGATGACCAAAGACTGTACCAACATCCTTCCCTCCTACCACCCTCCACCCGACGTGGACTATTGATGTTACACTATGGAGAAAGAGAAGGGGAAAAAAATCTAAGTTGCCTGAGCTTATCTGAAATCATTGTTTTCAGCCATGAATGGAGGCTCGATATAGAAATTCCGTATAGTTTGGCAAAATATAGATGTTTCTTTTTACGCCTTTGCATTCGGGGATGTGTAAAATTGCTTTAGATTAATACATTATCCATTACAGGATCTGAAAATATGTGTAGCTCTTCCTCTTTCTTATTCCCTGAGCTGAATTAATTAAAACTCTTTTTTTTTTTTTTTTTCTGCTGAACTCAGAACGTAGTGAGCCAGGCAGCTACTCTACATGGACTCAGCTGGAGTTGACACATGCAATAAAAGGTACTTAACATCCAACACTTAGAAGAACAGATGGACGTTTTGTCAACGAGACTCAAGCAAGTATTGAGTTCTAGGTTATACCTCCATTAAAGGTACCTGGCAAACAGCTATTCTAGATTTCAACTAGGGTAAAAATGTGTATCTTTCATATACAACCAATGCTGTTTCTTCATGAAAGTTGTGGAACCAAGAGGGCCGCCTTATCTTACCACAGAGATGGTCCAAGTAAGGACACTTGGGAACCACCAAGAGTTTCCTCAAGATGTTTGGGGTCCACTTAACCCAAGGACCAAAGAGAAATTTAAATCACAAAATTCTATACTACAGAGCATGGAAGAAAAACTTTTAGGTTGAAGAATTTTCAGAAATAGCTACTTACCATAAAAATATCTTAGGCAAGCATTCATAACATGTATAACTGATGTAACCTCTAAGAAAAATTGACTGTCTCTTCGAGAGGTTGCCTGGATCTTAAGGATTATCAAGTGAAAGTAGTTAAATATTAGGTAACAGAGATTAATATTAGTGAGATCCACCAAAGTGGGCGACATTTTAGTATTAAATTAGTCGATTTGAAAGCATTTGGGGCAGTAATTAAAGAACAGGGCGAGTTGTTTCATTAGTCTATTTCTAATAAATGAAAATGAAGCCATATGATCTACAAATAAAATAATGCTAACATTTTTCTCCTTTATACAGAAAGATGGAGTAACATATCTATTAGGGAGTGAGGCAGGTGAATGCATTTATCTTATCCAAAATGTATGCATCTTATAGGAGTGTCTTATAAAACAGTAGAAATCTAGTTCTCTTTCTACAAAAAACTTTCAGGGAAACAAGTTGTTTTCCAAATACACACACACACACACACACACACACACACATTCACACACACACGGTTGTACTTAAATTCCACTGGAATGGGCCCCATCCCTTTGGTTGCTAAAGAAAAACACAGGTGAGGACCCCAGACCATCATTAGAGTTGCTCTCGAACAGTTCTGGATGTGGGCATCTATGTATATGTTCTGTTTAATCCTGAGATTTCTGATCAATTGTACTTGGTTAACAGAGGTCCTCAGAGTCAGGCACAAAATAGCTTGATATGCCGTAAGTTCGGAGCAATTGGAAAATCTAAGTGAAATAGAAATTGACTTATCATTAATTTTAAAGAAGGCTCATGACGGTTAACCTCTCACCTGGCAAGTGTTCTTTTAAGGAGAACAAATTTAAAAATTAACATGTAGTCTCAGCTAACTTTGTAGGAGAACTCTGGGCAAGTTTCCAGTGCTATTATGGAACGTTTCTTGGAAAGGAGCAAGGGAATACTTTTTGAGTCAGCTTGGAGCAAAAAGCAATGCTAGGTCTCAGGCATTCCTACGTCTATACCATAGCACTGCAGCTCACTATTTGTGGGGTATTGGGCGAAGCACTTCACTGAGCCTCCACCTTCACATCAGTGACATGGGCATAACAGCAAATGTCTTGTAGAGAGGTTATGCAAATTAAATGAGAGAAAATATGCACCAGTGCCTGGCACAGAATAGGTGCTCAATAAAGATTAGTCTCTTGGGCTTCCCTGGTGGCGCAGTGGTTGAGAGTCCGCCTGCCGATGCAGGGGACGCAGGTTCGTGCCCTGGTCCGGGAAGATCCCACATGCCACGGAGCGGCTAGGCCCGTGAGCCATGGCCGCTGAGCCTGCGCGTCCGGAGCCTGTGCTCCGCGGCGGGAGAGGCCACAGCAGTAAGAGGCCCGCATACCGCAAAAAATAAATAAATATTAGTCTCTCTTTCCCTTCATCACAGGAACTTTCTATTCCTACTCCCCTCAGAATTTTCCATTGTCACCTTTAAGGATGTAGGAAGGCTCTTCCTCAAGGATTTCTCCAGCATCTGCAGCATCTGGGCACCTTGCAATGGGAACATCGTGCAAGACAGCCTGTTCTGGAGAGACAACCAGGAAACAGCCTGGAATGAGAAGACCAGGAGGAGATTCAGAAACAAAAGCCGCAAGTTCTCTGCTAATTGCCGGAGCCCTCTTCCGTCTCTCTTTATTGGCGTCCTCTTCACTAAAGTCATCAGCCATTCCAAGGAAGGATGAGACTGGCAGGAAGTGCAGAGCCTGCCTTCTGAATTTTTCAGCTCACCTTCTTAAAACTTTGATGAATTCTAGTCATTAACTTCACTTTACATTAACAAGCACATTCTAAAGTATATATAACATTTTTTTTGAAATTTAGTTGCTATCAGTGATTTTTCTGACTCTACCAGTAATAAGCTGTGCAACCCTGGAAAGTTACTTAGATCCTCTGTACCTTGGTTTCTTCAAAGTAGATGGGATAATAGTATTACCTGACTCATAGAATTGTTGTGAGGATTAAATGAGCTAATACGTTAAAAGAGTAAATGAGTGCTTAAAGAGTATCTGTCACATAGCAAACACTGAACATATGTTATGTTATTACTACTACCACTCCTCTTCCTTACTGTCTTTTCTTTCCCCTCCTCTTCTCCCCCCCTTCCTTCTCCCCACTTGAGTTAAAGTGCTGTATGCTGCATGAATTTTTTTTTTTTTTTTTGGCGGTACGCGGGCCTCTCACCGTTGTGGCCTCTCCCGTTGCGGAGCACAGGCTCCGGACGCGCAGGCTCAGCGGCCGTGGCTCACGGGCCCAGCCGCTCCGCGGCATGTGGGATCTTCCCGGACCGGGGCAGGAACCCGTGTCCCCTGCATCGGCAGGCGGACTCTCAACCGCTGCGCCACCAGGGAAGCCCACTGCATGATATTTTGCCACATTTTAAATATAGGGCTTTCTGACATGCTTTAAAATATAAACAAGTTATCTTATTGTTTACTTGTTTCTTTATCTATTTAGGCCACACTATGTGGCTTGCGGGATCTTAGTTCCCCAACCAGGGATTGAACCCAGGCCCCGGCAGTGAAAGCGCCAAGTCCTAAGCACTGGACCGCCAGGGAACTCCTTGTTTGTTTAATCGCCAAGTCCTATTTCAAGCTGGTGCTCTCACTTTATCACTGAGCCTCACCCTATTTTTGAGTTTTACTCCATCTCTAAGCCTTACTCTTGGATCTGTGATACACGTTGCATAATTACTAGGGAGCATAAAAATAGTATTTTTACATATTTGACTCACTGCATCAAATTGGGATGCTCAAAACATCCCATAAAATCCTACTGACATGAAAAAGGAAGAAAAGAGGCAGTGTCACAGTGCTCTGATTTGGAACTCTAATCTTAGGAGTACCAAGTTACTTTTTTTTTTGGCGGTACGCGGGCCTCTCACTGTTGTGGCCTCTCCCGTTGTGGAGCACAGGCTCCGGACGCGCAGGCTCAGCGGCCATGGCTCACGGGCCCAGCCGCTCCGCGGCATGTGGGATCTTCCCGGACCGGGGCACGAACCCGTGTCCCCTGCATCGGCAGGCGGACTCTCAACCACTGCGCCACTAGGGAAGCCCCCAAGTTACTTTTTAATGAAGGCGCCGAAGAGGTATTCTGAGAAGATGTTGTATTAAAACCCACCATGCCTGAGATGACATGCTCCAGGCCAGAACTGGGTAAATTTGTGCTTTTAGAATAGCAAGGGCACTTCTGTTTTTGGCCAACGTGGAATACAATAAGTCCCTTATATACGAAATTTCAAGTTTTGAACTTTAAGAGATGCGAACATGCGTCGCTCATCCAACCTATGGATCAAGGAGTTATATTGACTTTTGTTTTTTAATATTTATTTGTTTATTTATTTATTTATTTGGCTGCACTGGGTCTTAGTTGTGGCACGCGGGATCTTCATTGCCGAGTGCGGGATCTTCATTGCGGCATGTGGGATCTAGTTCCCCGACCAGGGATCGAAACTGGGCCCCCTGCATTAGGATGCAGAGTCTTAACCACTGGACCACCTGGGAAATCTCAATTATAGTGACTTTTAAGAAATATTATTTATTTCACACTTTTCACCTGGCAGTAAAGGCGAGTGATGAATCAGGAACAATCTTGTGACAATTTTGGAAGGATGATAACATCTACAAGGCCATAAAAAACATTGATTTGCTTGTTGTGAGGTTACAGCCGTCACCGTGAATGGGGTTGGGAAGAACCTTTACCTGCAGTTTTTGTGCACGACTTTTGTGGATTTGAGAAGGTGGATGAGGAGTCCAAAGAAGTCTCCAGCCACTTAGTGACCCTCAGCGAGAAGCTGGAGCTAGATCTGCAATAAGACGACTTCACTGAACTCCGTGCTGTGCCACATAAGGAGCTTACTGATGAAGACCTGACGGAATTGGAGGCCCAGAGAAAGGACGAAGAGACACAAGAGGAAGAAGAAGTAACTGAAGAACTGAAGAGATTCACGACGTAGGAAATGGCAAGGGGATTTTCTTTATTTGAGGGGGTACTGCTAGTTTTTGAGGCATAGGTCCTGAACGTAGAACGGTACACGAAAGTTGCAGCAGCCGTTCAGAATGCAATCCAGTTCTACCGTGTCATCTATGATAAGAAAAAAAGAGCTACTACCCAGACATCACCGGATTGTTTATTCAAGAGAGTAGATAGAATTGAATCCAGAGGCTCTTAAGACTGTAAAAAGTATAGCATTCCTGAAGGCCAATCTTCTCTTTTATCTAGAGGCAACTCACAAGGAGTATAAGATGCAACATAAAGATGAATGTCAAATCTGTGGGATGGGACTTCCCTGGTGGCCCAGTGGTTGAGAGTCCACCT